ACTCAAACCCTCACGCTGAAAAAGTAAGTAATCTGTACAAAAAATTCAATAAGCTCACGTGCGTGCACTAGGTTTGATAATCAATGATATCAATACAATTGGATAGTGAGTTATTGCTTATTTAATAGGCTCATGATGAACTGAGCATCAGCTCACTGATCAACGATATCATGAAGTTCCTAAACTGGTTTTTTGCTATTTCAAAACATGCTCGGAACAATTTTCTGAGAATTTCTAAACTACTGCTTTGTAATTAATAAACCTTCCCGGAAATGTGAATGTTTTCGCCTCTAGAACTTTTACTGCTTTCTTTCAGAGTACCCTAAACAGCCGTGTGGTGTCAGAAGCCTGCATCGCCCAGATTCTTCAGCAATTGCAATCCTATAGTCGTGCTCAGATTGTAAGTTTGTTTCAATCGCATCTCATGCGAATCAATATTTGCTCGGGATGGAAAGAAAGTTTCCATTTCCAATCGTAAAATATATCAAATATACAAAGTATGTAAAATATAAAATATGTAAAATATATAAAATAGAAATAAAATATGAAATATTCAAAATATAAAATGATATGTAAAATATGTAAATTACGTAAAATATTAAAATATTCCATTAAAATAAAATATCGTAAAATAAATACATCCAAATTATGAGGGATTGATCCCTCCCATGTCGCCTGGCTGACTATCGTTGTGAGTGTTTTCGTGTCAAAAATACTTGAAGCGAACCGATAGTTTGCCTTGAAAAACGAATGCCATCAACTTACCTGTTAGAGAGTTAAATAACCGAGCCTGTATGAAGCTCTTGATTCATGTTTAGGTTGCTAATTGATCACTTTCAGAGGTTTCATCGGGAATGCGCTGAGCGAATGAACCCAAATGATGAGGTCAGGAAAGTGGTTCTGGAAACTGCGAAAGAGTGGCTTGAAATGGACCAGAAGCGATTTGAAGACAATGTTCTGGCATCTCCTCTGGCAATGCGAATTATACGAAGGACGTTCGATAGTCAGAGTACCCCAANTCAAACATCCAACAAACGCTTTTGGAAAACCAAACAATCCATACAAATAAACCGAACTCACTCGCACAGAATCGTAAATCCTCCGTAAAAAACCAGCCATCCTCCATAGGGTCTCTGGAATCATGCACTGGAGTTCAAGAACTAGTAGTCTCTGAATCCACAAAAATGCCAAAGCAATACCAAAGCAAAATACCAAAGTCGAGCAAAGTGGCAGCGCCTTCAAGTGGTCGGCAATCATCTGCAAATACTGAAAAAAGTCTCAGTAGAAAGCGACAATCATCTTCGATTGATTCTGATTACGAGGAACTACCTGCAAAAATCGTCTATTCTGGGGCATTCTCAGAAAATTATGCATCATCTGCTACAGCTGAGCGGACGTTTATAACCGATCGAAATAGTCAATTTCAACAGTCTCCGTGGTCCGATTCGATCCAGTCAGTTGCTGAAGATCATTGCAAAGTTGTTGAAGATCATGTCACGTCGACGAGCACCCCGACAACGACTTCGCGAAGTCAGCAAACATCTACAAGTGCCGAGGAAAGACCCATTTGGAAGCAGCCATTATGGTTGAATGTTCCTGATCGTGAGGAGTTGGCTGCCTCTATCTCTGATTCTGGGATATTCTCAAAAAGTTATCTATTGTATTTATCAAGTCAAACAGGATCTGCTACAACTCGGCGGCCAGTTATAACCTATCCAAGAATTCCTATTAGGGAATGTCCACGGCCCGCTTCTATCCAATTATCTGCTGATAATCATTGCGAATTTGTTACACATTGCGTTAAGCCGATGAGGAAAAAGACAGCAGGATGTATTATACTGTAATTAATTACTTATGTGAATGTTGTTATGTGATTCTTAAATCGATGTGTGATATACTGATGTAATAAGGTGGTGATATTTTCTCTGTTTCAGCGGGGTGATATTTGAAATCATTGAAATGAAATCATGAAATGAAATGAAATTGAAATCATTTGATGAAATCATTTAATGAGATGATGCGATTTGAGAATTCTGAGTGACGACTTCAGCCATCACTGAAGAATGATAGATCACTGATGAAGGGAATAAAGAACAACTAGCTTCAGGCTGATGCAGTCAAAAATTCAGAAACCTTGGTGTTACTGAAACACTGGAACACCTGAACATTGATCTAACTATAAGTGAATTTACATTTGGCTTTTTATGATTATGATTTTCATTCTCATATGATTATCTATGATCTACATATACATATGCGTTGAGTGGCACGTTTTTCGATCAATCCGTCCCTCTCTATTCATTCTAAAAAATTCGAATGTGGAGAAGGCCCACTCAGGCTCAGGTGCACGATTACCCTCACTATCAGAATAAAGCCTAAATTCACGCCTAGATTTCGGTTTGAACGAAGGATCGAACAATACCTGATTAAAATACGGTGATGAAAGGTCGTCGGATAGGTATTTTTTGGTATTCCATAAGCCATCTAGTTGAAATTACCACTACATACGGTGAGATTTGAACCTTACATCATCACCTGATCGAATACTTCAACATTTTGTACGAGTAGTAAAACTGTGATTTGGGCGATAACTTCGATTTAAGCTGCTCTTCAGTCGTGCCTTTAATCATGGTATTCTATGCCATTGCTCATTGTAACTTTCCATCTTTTCATCCTATACGACTATGCCGTGTGCTTTACCACTAATCCTGTATCTTTGGATACTGAACATTACTTTCTTGTAACTTCCTTAATTACCATTTTTATTTCATGAATGCAATTCCAAATAAACTCTTCATCATACTCAGTGTCAACTTGCTTCTCTAAATTTCCACAGCTCACTGTAAAAAGCGCTCATCGCCAGCGAATCACTCAAACCGACAAGATAAAACATGTAATTTGACCAGATCGAATCGAACGCATCACCAGAGAATCTGGAAAATCCGATGGTGGAACGACAACGTTTCTTAGTAAATCTGAGGACAGCGAGCGTTCCAAGGTGGTGACCCTGGTGCTGTTAAAGTAATTTACAGATTGATCAATAGAGATGCAGTGTATCAAAATTAGCGCCGCCGAGCTGCGTGTGAAATACCTTCAAAAAATCCGCTCTGAATGTGAGCAAAATGAATGTAAGTGGAATTGCCCGGCAACATCTGTACTTTTCTGATTTCAGCGAATCAGTGAAATGGGATGGTGTGAAAAAATCACAGTGTTTCTGGGCAACTCTGAGATCGGTTACCGTTTAAAAATAGTGTCCTCGATACTTTTTGTTACTGACAGTTTTGATCATTTTCGAGATATCTCCGCCAGAGGTTAAAATTTTTGTGTTTTTTTAGCTTTCCAACTACCTTCAGGTGTTTCTGGGTGGCAGTACTAGTGACGGATAGCAATAATCGGATTTTCAAAATCACGTATACATTTGCAAGCATACTTGCTGTTTTAAAATCTAGGTGCCGTCTTATTGCTCTCATGTGGTAGAGCAGCCTTTAGTGCGATTCTGCCACGGCATTGAAACGTGTACCGAACATGAACTTAGGCATATTTTCTCGATTGTGCGAGATGGATAACTATGAAACTAAAATTAATATGAATGAGTGCAATTTGCAAAAATCAGTGACTTGCAATCTGTGCAGTTGTACCGTTCCTGGTTTAATGTTTTCTCAAGTACCTGGACTCTGTGGAATTAGTGTGAGGGTTTTGTGGTTTCACATTAAATTGATTAATTGAATAATAGGTGAATAAGATGTAGATCTGAGGGTGTATATGCAAACATGGTGGATAATACTGTTACGGCAATCGTAATGCCGAATAA